CCCCAAAACCCCAAAACCCCAAAACCCCTAGAAGACAGGATAAATTCGAGTTAATTTAAAGCGATGAAATAAATATTAATATTGGAATTATTATATTAATCTCGGTTGAGAAGCAAGCATGATAAGTAAAAGAGAAATAGAATAGCTCTAAAAAGAGATACTCTATCCGACCTATTTCGACAAGTACCACAACGTTAAAATTAAGGATTTGACTGTGCATGATAAGTACAATCAGATTTTACAGGTGGCCCTAAAGACCCAGAATAATTAGAAGAAGATAAAGTCGCTTAGTTAGGCTATAGACATGCAAAAGTCCTTATAGAAATTGTTAAGACATGGTTTTAACGCTACAAATATAGAGGTAGACGATATACATCTAATGAGAAGAATGTAAGATAATGATTAAGAACGTAAAGCAAAGGAATTTCTTTAAAACAATCCCACATTAGTTGATGAGCTAGTACAAGGTTATTACAATAAACATAACAGATTGACAAAGAAAAATGTGATTCGTTTGTTCGGACCAACTTAGAGATAAGTGATTGAGGATGAAAGAGAATAGGAAAGACTTGAAAAATTGGAAAAAGAAAACCCTATAAGGTAAGCATTACATATTCTATTGCTAATTTTCAATATTCTATAGAGGACCAAAGAAGCATAGTTCGACTTCTGATATTTTCGGTGGACTTGCAAGAACTTCTGAAAGCAAGTAAAATTAGCGAAGAGCCAGCATAGCTAATAATAATCTAAGCATAAAATATCTAAGTCAACATCAATAGAAAAAATTGATGAAGTTACAGGAGTAACTTGGTGAAATGGGAGATGTCAAAAACCTTGATGACTATTCATTGGCAAATCAATACTCAAAGAAATCCTATTGCTCCTATAGGTCAACTAAAAAACTCAATGTTCTTTAAACTTTCGAATAAAACGCTTATAAAAATAAAATATCTAGGCTAGATACCATATACAAGCGAGGTTAGTATTTGAAAATGATGCAGGAGAAATAGGAGTAAGAAGAAAGAGAAAAATAAAGATAAAAATTAGAAGAGGAAAAAAAGTAACTAGAGAAAGAAGCAGCCGAGGCTGAAGCTAATTCAAAGAGGACCTTTCCTAATTAGCACAAGTCAAGGCTAATGAAAGATTTGTCTAAGCATGACTTCGTCTTAACTAGAGTGTCTCAGAAATTGGTAAAAGCTTCTACTAATGTCAAGTCAATAGATCAAATAGTAAATGAAATAGTCCAAAAAGAGGATAATAATCTAAAGAAGGCTAAATCTGAAAAGGAAAAGGAATTTATGAAGCGAAATTTTTTGATAATGGAAAAACTTGATTTTACTAAGAAGTTCTTTGAACCTATATTAGAAGAAAAAGATTTACACGGTGATATTATGGTCAAATCAAAAGTACCGAGGCATATTATTCATAAAATGAATATATAGAACAGTCCAGGAATTGTAGCTGGGATAGACAAAGAGCATGCATCATCTCCAGATTTCAACAAACAGTAATAGAAGTTTTTTGGGGATATGCTTTTCAGAAAATAAAATCCAGATTTCTTCCTTACATCTATTCAAGAAATGGAAAAGAAAAAAACACTAAGGGAGAGCATGATGAATTTAAATGCAACTGAGGAAGATAACATAAGTCCAAGCAAGATGAGTCCATATTTAAATCCATTCAAAGCTATATTTGGAGATGTAAACGTAAACTCAAGACTATAGAGAGCTCTCAGTAAAAATCAAATATTGAAATCTGATAAGATACAGCTCAACTTTAATGACTCTAACAAATAGGAAATGATAACTCAATACACAAATAGTGTACCCTTGTCTTGCAAGGCATAGTCATAAGTAAGCAAAAAGAGGCCTCTTAATCACTCCAAGGTATATAAAACTCTCATAGATGATTCAAAGTTATCAAATAATCTCTACAAAACAAGCTCCCATTTTTCCACGACTAAGTTGGGAGATAGGCAATAGAATATGCAAAAAGTAAAGGATTTGACTGGAATAATTTGGAGTTGTGCAAATCAGTTAGATTCTAATTAAGCAGAAAGAAAGACCTTCTTCTCTGTTGAGAAATACACAAAGCAGGAGTTCAGAGAACTGGAGGATAAATTTGAAACTATACATGGTGTCAATGACTTGCTAAATGAACTCTGACTATCTCAAATTATAGAAACTACTTTATTTACTTTTCCTTAAACTTTGCTAATTGATACCTTGCGGGGTTTTGGGGTTTTGGGGTTTTGGGG